CTGAGTTGCTCTCATCTGGATAAGCTCCAGGTGTGTCAATCAATGTCCTTCTTAAAACTCAATGAAGTCTAGAGCTGAACACAATGCCTGGTTCAGACCAAATGAAACTACCACCTCCTTTGTTCACTTACTTGTATTAATGTAGTCTGGAAATGCATTTGATTTCTTGGCAACTGAGCACCTTTTGGTTCACTTTTACTTGTTGTGAACTAAAATCCAAGTGCTTGTTTCCCCTACGTAAATTATAAGTATTATGAAATTTAAGAATGTGAAAGCAATTTGTATCCTAGAAATGACTATACTAGTATGACTTAATGATAGTAACACACACACACCTATATGACAGATTTAACCTACATTTAAAAGATGTCAAAAAATGAATTCTAACTGGTACAGACTCTTAACTTCCTTCTAAAATCCCCTCCACATTTTTAAAAAACAAGATGGCTTAAGTCCTTTTATCATCAAATAATGGAGGCACATTAATTAGAAGTTTTGTCACCATGGACTCCAATATTTCTAAAATGTTCCAATGGTTAACCCAGAAACCAGGCAATGCAATTTTTATTGTGCAGGTTTCTCTGGACAATCGCTATCAGACGAAAGTCTTTACAATTAGAATGACGTCACTTCACCAGGTATACGCATGGAAAGTACAGCATTTCATAGCTGCTTTAGACAATACAACCATCTTAGGGAAAGCAGAAAGCTCCTTGCAGAAGAAGAGAAATGAACTGCTCATTTCCTTTCAGAAAGTTTTACTGATGAAGAGCAGAATAGTACTGTAAAGGTAGCCTTTGCAGGAATGACTGCAAAGACAACGAGGTTCTTGCCCTTATTTGGGGAAAGGAGACGTATTTCAATAAATAAACAGGAGTATGTTCATTTGTAAAGTCATTGCTAATGAGTTCACTTCCATTTTTACAGGGTACTTTAGGGAATAGTAAAGAACATTTTGGAACAACATCAACTATTTTAAATTATTTAACCCAGGAGGTACCAACTTCTCATATTCGGGCAGAAACAACATAGAGATACTGACAAAGTTGCTCATTAACTCAGGCAACAAATGTATGAAACTCATGAAATTCTAGTAATTGGGTCTGACTAGTATTAATGTATTTATGAGGAATAAGAGTTGGCAAGACTATGTTGATAGATGGGAACTAGACATCAGGGTCCTAGATATGTGGCAGCAAAACATGTTGCTTTGTGTACCTATTCTAACTTCTACATTCTCCCGGTAACAAAATTTTCCTAGGGAAGCTTTTTTTTTTTTTGAGGAGTAGAGCTGAATTAGCTGGGATAGTGAGTTTTAACATAATCTGTTAACACTGAGTGGTTAACACAGACCTCTTGCAAGGAAGCTCATGAGGCCCCCGTACAACCACGTCTTAACTCTAGCAAACTCAGTGCCTCCTTAGCTTCCAGCTTTGGATGAATACACAAAATCTGAAATTTACTACCCAGTGCTCTATTCACAGAAATAAAGAACATTGCAATCGTAAGCCTTGTTTCACGGTTGCTTTTCATCATTTTATGGTACATGATAATAAGTCATGTCTGAAGTAAGTGTTCTGTTTTAGATGGTGCTGCATTTTCTATCAAACCCCACTTTATTGCAGAATCATTTCCAGTATACTTACTGGTAAAGACATAATCCAAAAGAAGGAAATAATTTGCACATTTTTCCCCTGATTGAACAAGGTCTCTAAAAACAAATACTCATCTATAATGCATGGAGTCTATTGCAAAGTAAAAATTATGTTTCATTTTGTCATGAGTAAATAATCATGTTTCAGTCTCATCCTCTCTTTTCAGCCCCAGTAATATTTTAATCAATGCACAGAAAAGTTATTTTAAATTTACCCAACAATTTAATCAGAAATAGACATATTAACGTATAATACACACATCTTTCATGCAGAAACCAGGACACTTGCAGTATTCTGACCAGCTAATGAAGAAGGTTTACTTTTTAAAATTTACATAAAGAATCAAGCAATTGGCTTCAGTACATTTTGATTAAAAAAAAAAAAAACCTGGGCTTTGACTGTTACAACTAAAACAGATCTAAGACACCAAATAAGTAAATAAATAAATAAATAAATAAAAGCTTAAAGCATCAAATAAATAAATAAAAGCTTTGCTTATGAGACCTGAACTAAAACTTTACTGTCAACAGCATCAAAGGTCTGGTGTTTATACAGGCAAAAATTTAGCCACATGAAGATAAGTTGATACTTCCAGCAAACAGGTACCATAAATCAAATATGTGGATTGTTTCCATTTGTATTGACCCATAAACTCCATTGTTTCCATTCCTCTTGACTCACAAATATTGGTATTGACCCACAAACTCCATGGGTTAAATTGAACTCAGTTTAGGAGATAAACTCTTTACTTATACAACATGCTATATACGTCCAACAGTGAACTGTTCAATAATTGCCTTGTTATTTTGAAATGCCCACTGTCTGGCTGTGTATTTTAAAACAAATAAACACAGGAGTAAGCAGAAACTGGAATTTATATTTTATTTGATAGCTGGGCTAGCAGTTCATGCCCCTGGTTGCAAATGAAATCAGATAAGAAACCCTTTTGTTAAAAGATTTTATTTATTTGAAAGGCCGAGTGAAAAAGAGAAAGCAAGAGAGAAGGAGAGAAAGAGAAAGTCACATATATAGACAGAGGTCTTCCTTTTGCTGTTTCATTCCCCAGATGGTCACAAAGGTTGGTACTTGGCAAAGCTGAAGCCAGGAGCTTTTTCCAGGTCCCCCACGTGGGTTCAGAGGCAGAGGTTTCTGCTACTTTCCAGGTTCATTAACAGAGAGGCTGATTCGAAGATAAGCAGCAGGGGACTGGAACCTACATCCATGTGTGACGTAGACAAAGGTGGCAACAGAATAACTCTCTATGCCACAGTGTTGGCCCCAGATGAGAAACTTTTAAGCACATATCCATGTCTAGATTTGCTTCAAGAGATTTTGATTTATGTGACCAGAGATGGAGGACACATTATTTGTAGTTCTTCTCAGGTGACTGTAATATGCACCTAAATTTGAAAATAACTGATCTAATTTTTACTCTTTTGAGACAGGTAATAAGGATCAGGATAGTCTTTTCCTACATAAACAATTGTGAAAATTACCCAATTTCTGAAACCTTTGGTTTCATTGTCTTTAAAACCTGGGTAATGCCGTATGTCTCATGGAATATTTTCAAGGGTTTCCGGGACAAGAGATGTGGCCAAGACTGATGCCCAGCATACCAAGCAGCATGCAAGGGAACAACCAGGTTGCTGGGCTGGGCATGAGAGGATGGGGTGGTAGGAATAGAAAAACAGGAGAGAGTTCATTTGAAGAAAGCACTCACAGTTTAGTTTCTGCTGAATGTCACGTAGAAATATGGGTTGATGAACTTGATGTTTTTAAAGAAAGGACAGAGCACCCAACATGGTCAGCTAGTGGCTAAATTCTCACTTTTCAACCAACGGGATCCCATATGGATGCCGGTTCAAATCCTAGTTGCTCCACATCCCATCCAGCTCCCTGTCTGTGCCCAGGGAAAGCAGTAGAGAATGGCCGAATGCCTTGGGACCCTGCACCCACGTGGGAGACCGGAAGAACCTTTTGGTTCCTGTCTTCGGATTGGCTCTTCTCCTCCCTATAAATCTGACTTGCCAATAAAAGTAAATAAATCTTTTTAAAAAGGACAGAAATCTAGATAGTTCAATTGGAAATTTTCCTTACTCTTAAAATAGCAAAACAAAGAACCAGTATGTGTCACCAATTTTCTACTTCAGAAAATGTAAATTCCCTTTTATCACATAAACATATCTCATGTGTCATATGTTGTGATTTATTCTTGTTTTGGGTTACCTATAATTTTTGTCTATTCTGTCAAATATTTCTTCTTAAATGGAGCAAAGATTCCCAAGTTTGACTTGTCGCAAAATAAGGGTAACTTCAAAAATTTCAAAGAAAAATTGAATTAAAAGATACGGATTTTTGGAGTAAACATGTTTGAAATTCATGCATACAAGTATAATGAATCTGTTACTCTTCAGTTCTTCTGTGGCTGAAGCAGAATCAGTTCATGATATACTTTTCCCCGTGTTATCTATGGCACAATTTTATATTTTTCTGTTTATATCAATCCCACTTCTCAGGGGTGAATCTGATGATATAGGATACTATAATTCTTCATTCATTCTCAGCTCCAACAACTTTTTTTTTAACATACTGGGGGGGTTAATATTTGTTTTCTTTTCTTTTTTTAATTACATTTGATTTTGTGACACAGTTTCATAGGCTCTGGGATTTCCCAAACCCCTCCCTGTACCCTCCGCCATGGTAGATTGCTCCACCTTATTGCAGTATTACAGTTCAAATCCAGTCAAGATTCTTTCATTGCAAGCATGTACTTTGTATAGTGTCCAGCATCTTATTGTCCAGATAAATTCAACAGTTTCTTGGGAGACCATCCCTGATCTGAAAGCAGAGCTGGCAGAATATCGTCCTGAACAATTAAAAGCCACAACACAGCATCAACAACGGTTTACAACCTTATGGAGCTAATTGACATGGTATTGAGTAACCAATATGATTAGAAACTGCAAGTTCTTATCCACATCCTGAGATTACTTCATTGACATTTCAATTTTAGTATCTACACAACTGGCTGCTATACACCCTAAAATGGCTATAGGGTACTATACAGCTGTCTCGTGTCTATTTTCATTTTAGTGTTTAGTAGTTTGTAGTGTTGAAGCATAATTTTTACTGAACTTGGTAGATTTTGGGATAGTCCATGCTGGCTTCTAACTCTAACAAGGCATTTGTCAAGAGTTGAGGTGCAGAACAGTTTTAGGAGGGGTTTGCAGAGAAATCTTCAATACCTTAATGAGGAGTAACTTATCTTTGTGTCCTACCTAGTAAAGTATATGTGAGCCCAGGCTAACCGTTTTCTGTCTGGTACTGAGCTTTCTTTGTTCTATGTCTATCTAATCTAACTTTTGGGGGGGAGGGGCGGAGCTCCAGAGCGACCCTGATAATCATTGCAAGAGAGGGTGGGGATCCAAAGTTGGAACTAGGTAAGGACCAGAGAAAGTTCCTCACCTGATTCCCGAAGGAAGTTCACTAGCTCCAATAACTTCTGAAAGTAGTCATGACTTAATGCATATTTTTCATTTTTTGCACATAATAAGCATTATGTTGAGCAGTGGAAATAACGCTTACTTTTTCTAAAGAACGTCACATTTTCTTGTTTCATTGTGTTCAGTAACACCACTTAGCCTCACTGTTGTAAATTAAAGCAGTCTTTATCTAGCCTTAGAAACCCCCAGACCTTTTTGTTTTTAAACTTTGAATTTTATGGTACAGTTCCACAGGGTTTGGGATTGCCACTACCCCCACATTCCTACCTCCTGACTGATTTTTCCCATATTATCACATTGCATAGTCCTTCATAAGGAATCATGATTCCATTAGTCTGTTATTTAAGCGTGCCCCAACATTACTGGTACAGACAATGTCAGACAGTCCAGCATCCCATCGTCTGGATATGTGTAACAGTTTTACTGGGAGTCCATCTTTGATTTGAAAGTAGGGATGCATATGGCAGTGTATCTTCACGTCTGGATATGGTAGTCTCTGTTATGCCATCGCTATATATTCCCTTAAATGAGAAGCCACAAAACAAAGTCAACAACAGGTATGAAGATAAAACAAACAAATGAACAAAAAAAGTACAGCACCATGGAGTTGGAAAAAGCCAACCATTGAATAACCAATGTATGAGTGAAGAAAAGAAAACACAAAAGCCTCTTGGGCAAAATAATGCCACTGTGCAACTCATGAGCCAGCGATGAATTCAACAAGAGAAAAGAAACTATTTTGAAGATATGAAAACGAAATAAAAAACATCAAAACACATGGGATGCAGCAAAAGCAGTATGGAAAGGGTTATTGAACTTAAATTTTTATGATGGTTTCCTTAAATTAGAGAGAATATATGGTATTTGTCCTTCTGGGATTGACTTATTTCACTGCACATAATGGTTTCTAATTGAGACCATCTAGTTGCAAATGGTATGATTTCATTCTTTTTAATGGCTGAGTAATATTCCATGGAGTAGAAGTACTACATTTTCTTTAACCACTCCTCTTTGAATGGGCATCTGGGTTGTTTCCATGTCTTTGCTAGTGTAGATTGTGCTGCTGTAAATATAGGATTGTAGATCCCCTTCTCATATGCAGTTTTCATTTCCTTTGGGTATATTCCTAAGAGTGGGATAGCTGATTCACATGGCAGGCTTATTTGCAATTCTCTAAGCACTCTCCATATTGTTTCCATAGTGGTTGTACTAGCCTGCATTCCCACCAGCAGTGAAGGAGGGTGCCTTTCTCTCCAAATTCACGCCAGCAGGTGTTGTTAGTAGAGTTCTGAATGTAGGCCAACCTCACTGGAGCTAGGCAGAATCTCAATGTGGTTTTCATTTATATCTACCAGACAGTTAAAGAGCATGAGCATTGTTTCAAATGTCTGTTAGCCATTTGAATCTGTTCTTTTGAAAAATGTCTGTTCATTTCCTTCACCCATTTCTTCACTGGGTTGGTTTTGTTTACTGTCCCTGGGTGAAATGCCCAAATCTTATACTATACTAATACACCTATGGCCATTCAAAAGGATGAAAAGTACATTCCATTCTTCCAATGAGAGCATTGAAGATTCTCATTTCCTACTGTAGAAGTTAAAAGTAGAAGTCAGGTTTGTCATTGTGCATGATGGGAATCTTGTCTCCATTTCAAGACTTGAGGATAACAAATCATACAATTTTTTTTTTCTCAAAATTACAGCTTAAAAAATCACATTTAGAGTTTTAAATATTTAGCAAAGTCAGAAGAAGTCTACAATTGTGTGAAAGTCTGAAGTGTGTACCAAAAGCACAAAATGAACTCGTAATTGAAGATGAGATTTATTTGTAAAAAAAAATGCCGTCCTTTGAATATACCTCCAACAGAGCTGTATATGAGACTATTTATGGCTTTGACTTGAGTTACATTCTCCTGAAAACAATAAATTGATCCCAAAGACCTCCTTGTGTGAATGCAGGGTTAAACAAATCAATTACAAAATGCACAAATATCTGAAAGGTCATGAGAAGTGAGTGATTCCATTTGACTTGATAGTGATAAATACTGCAGTAATAAATTGTTTCATAAAATTGATTCCTGTTGTTCCAATATAGGATGTAGGCCTCTTGGATAACAGCTAAACTCTCTCCGCCACAATGGCCACCTCTGCAATTGTTTATTGAACATATTGTAAATATGAAATGTTCCCAGAATCAAACATCATCTAAACAGTGCCTGTTTTCAAGTACTAGAAGGTTGGTTAAAATGCAAATAAATAAGAGATGTTCTGAGACGAAATAGATCAAAGGAATGCTTGGGTTGGAACTAAAATGAATAAAATATCTCCTGTGTTAGGTTCTTCTGAAAATAATAGGAGAGCAGAAGAGGAAAACTAGTTTCTTACCTTGTTAGTTACACAAAGTTTTAGAATCATATTTGAAAAGTTGGTAATGATGCCAAAGATTACAGCTGATGACATTCAGAGTAAAGTTACTGGATCCCATACAGGAACTGATTTGGGCTCTCACTGTTTCAGCTTTCTGTGACTGCATCTGGGAAAGTAATGGAATATGCTTGGGCCCCTGCCACTCATGTGGAAGATTCAGGAGCTCCTGGCTCATGACTTCAGCCTGGTCCAGTCCTTGCCGTTGCATTACTTGGGGAGAAAACCAGCAGATAGAAAGTCACTCTTCTGTCTCTGTCTCTCTCTCATTCTTTTGCTCTCTCTCTCTCTGTCTTTCAAATGAATAAAATAAATATTCAAAAAAATGTTGACAATAAAAGATGCCTGCATTGTTGCCTAATTGTCTGGCTGCTGCCTGTAATGCTGTCATCCCATGTGAATGCTAATTCAAGTGATGGTGCGCCTAGGAAAGTGATGGGAGATGGCCAAGTGCTTGGGTTCCTGATGCCCAGCTGGAAGACCTGGATGGAGTTTCTGCCTCATGGCTTCTGGCCTGTCCAATCCTGATTATTGCGGTTATTTTGGAAATGAATCAGTGAATGGAAATTGCCTCTGGTATACCAGACCAGGATAGACTCCAGCAACCACTGGTACTCAGGAGAGTCAGGGTGGATGTAGAACAGGCTGGGATAAGTATTGGCTCCTGCTAAACCATGTGAGAACTGTGTCTTGGAATGGACCATGTTCGGCTTGGCTGCAACACCCAACAGTAAAAACCAGAAAGGGTATGGGCTGATTGGGCAAAGACATCATTCCTGCCAGGGCAAGAGGTACACAAAGTCAACCTGGGCCAAGGACCCACCAGTATGTGCAAGATGTGCCACTGGGAGGAGACTGGCTAGAAGATTTGGTGAACTCCTGTGTAAAGTTGCAGTCCCTGCAGGTAAGCACAAGAATCAAGGGAAGGAGCAGTGTAAACCAGGCCAGCATACAGTATCCACCAGCATTCATGTGGGTCAGGTCAGGGGGTAAGCCAAGTTGGGCCAATTGACAATATCTACTGGCAGCCCCAAGAATTAGGGTGTGGTATGGGGGTGGGTTGGGCTGCAACACCAGCAAGTTCACACTGGAGTCAAAAAGGAGGCTGATTTGGCAAGGATAGGCTGTAGCACCAAACAGCATAAGCTGGAACTGGGGACAGGTTGGTTCGAAGTAGGTTAAAGCACATGGTATTGGATACTGAGGTGAGATGAGTCATGCCAGTCTGGGGGTGGTAGGTGCTGGGTCTGTAAGCCCCAAGGACAGAGGGATTGTTAAGTCCACCTGTGAGGTGGGTGCAAGGTCTGTGAGCCCAGTGGTGGGGAGTTTGGCTTGGGTCATCTGGTCCTAGGGCCCACCTGTGTGTTGGGTGTTAAGTTGTGAGCCCCAGGGGTGGGGTTTGGTGGGACCTGGGTTGCATGGCCCAGGCTCTTTGGCCCACCTGCACAGTGGGTGCTAGGTCTATGAGCTTCACAGTGAGGGATATGGCAAGGCCTGGTTCATCTAGATTGACTCCTTGTCTCACCTGTGTGCTAGGTGCTAGATCCCTTAGCCTCAGGGGTGGAAGTTCTGTAGGGGCCTGAGTTTGCTGGCCCAGGTCCTAGAGCCCACCTGTGTATTGGGTGCCAGGTTTGTGAGCTCCGGGGGTGGAGAGTCTAGTAGGACCTGGGTGGTCTGTCTTGAGTTGTTGAGCCTATCTGTGTGGTTGGTGCTGAATCCATGAATCCCAGGGGTAAGGGTCTAATGGGGTTCAGGTCACCTTGCCCAGGTCCTTAGCCTACCTACAGGATAGGTGCTGAGTCCCTGTGCCACAGGGTTGAGGGATCTGGCTGGGTCCAGATTACCTTGCCCAGGTCCGGGCTCACCTATGAGAACTGGTCCTCCTCAGTGTAACGGATGGAGTGCTGTCTGGCAGACCATGGTGCACATAAAGGATATGGTAGCCCTTTGGGGCGTGCAGAGGACATCTGGCACCATAGTAGAGAATGAAGAACAGAACATAGGTACAACCACCCCATCCAAACATTGACAGCAACATCTGGGTGAATGGACATTCTAAGGTCAATTCTGTCAACCAATGGACATTGGAAGGGGTTCCTTATTTATAGTCCAGCAAGATCAATAGCATTTCAGAACAATCGCACCCACCTAGGCAGAACCCTTGGAGCACATGCTGCATTGTGACCTTTGGTTGATGTCAGGTAGCCATTCCCCATTTTCAGGTACTAGGATGGTTGAGAGGCTGGGTATGGCCTCTCCCTTTATCTCTCCCCTTCCATCCTCTCCCCTCAGAAACGGGAAGAAATAGAAAGCTTGGAAACAATGATCACACCCACTTCTCCCTAACCCTAGATCTTTCTCACCATGATCAATTATTTAAACATCACCTAAAATAACAAAAAAGTTAAGAAAATAAAAAAAAAAAGAGGATTTGGGATTTATGCATATGCACATTATATCTAAAAGTAGGCAACTGTTAGCTTTTTTCAAATGATTACAGAAAGCTAAATCTGGAAGAAATCAGGGTTATCCTCTAGATTATCTACTTAATTTTAACAAGAGACCCCAAACTGTAAAGCAAACTTAAGAAACAAAAGCAAAGCTAAAAGGTGAAAGACTTATACGATCTTGATGCATTGGTCATTTTGTAGCATGTTGTTCAACTTCATGTTGATGTAAATTTCCTGTTTTTCTCCCTGTTGTTTATTGTGTTTTCTGGCTCTGTATTTAAAGGGATGTGTAACAGAAGTGTAGCAGAGACTGACATGTCCGGATGTGGAGACATAGTGCAGTATGTCTCTTTGAATCCAGATCAAAGAAGGACTCCCAGTGAAACTGTTGAATATAACTTGTCAGTGAGAAGCTTTATTCTCTGACATTTTCCATGCCTACAACGCCAGGAAATACTTCAATAGCGGTTGATGAACTTTTAACTGTTCATGAAGGACTACCCATTGTAATACTAGAGGGGAAATCAGAATGAGAGAGGGTTGTTGAGGAGAGGGAGATGATGTCCCATCATTTATGATGGAACAGTATCATGAAATAATAATAACA